AAGGATTTGAAAGATGCAGGGGTGGTGATTCCCACCACTTCTCCCTTTAACTCTCCTATTTGGCCTGTGCAGAAGACAGATGGGTCATGGAGAATGACAGTTGACTATGGAAAACTTAATCAAGTAGTGACTCCAATTGCAGCTGCTGTACCAGATGTGGTTTCCTTACTCGAGCAGATTAATACGTCTCCTGGTACCTGATATGCAGCTATTGATTCAGCAAATGCTTTCTTCTCAATACCAGTTCATAAGGACCACCAGAAGAAGCAATTTGCTTTCAGCTGGCAAGGTCAACAGTATATCTTTACTGTCCTGCCTCAAGGGTATATTAACTCTCCAGCATTGTGCAATAACTTGGCTCGAAGGGATCTTGATTGCCTGACTCTTCCACAAAATATCACACTGGTCCACTATATTGATATGCTGATTGGATTCAGTGAGCAGGAGGTAGCAGACAGTCTGGACTTGTTGGTTAAGCATATGCGCATGAGGATGGGAAATAATTCCAACCAAAATTCAAGGGCCTTCTACCTCAGTGAAATTTCTAGGAGTTCAGTGGTGTGGAGCATGCAGAGACATTCCTTCTAAGATGAAGAATAAGTTGTTGCATTTGGCCCCTCCCTCCACCAAGAAAGAAGCACAACCCTTGGTGGGCCTGTTTGTATTCTGGAGGCAGCACATTCCTCATCTGGGTGTGTTATCATGACCCATAATCAAGTGACTCGGGAGGCAGCTACCTTTGAGTGGGGCCTGGAACAGTGAAGGGCCCTTAAACAAGTTCAGGCTGCTGTACAAGATGCTCTGCCCCTTGGGCCATATGATCCAGCAGACCCAATGGTTCTTGAGGTATCAGTGGCAGATAAAGATGCTGTTTGGAGTCTCTGGCAGGCCCCCATAGGGGAATCACAGCGGAGGCCATTGGGATTTTGGAGTAAGGCTTTGCTTTCATCAGTGGACAACTATTCTCCCTTTGAGAGACGGCTCTTAGCCAGATATTGGGCCTTGGTGGAAACTGAACGTTTGACAATGGGCCACCAAGCCACCATGTGACCAGAAGTGCCCATAATGAGCTGGGTGTTGTCTGACCCCCAAGCCATAAAGTAGGCCGTGCACAGCAACAATCCATCATCAAATGGAAGTGGTATATATGTGATCGGGCTCGAGCAGGCCCAGAGGGCACAAGCAAGTTACATGAAGAAGTTGCCAAAATGCCTATGGTTCCTACTCCTGTTACGATGCCTCCTGTTCTCAAGCATGAACCTATGGCTCCGTGGGGTTTGCCCTATGATCAGGTGACTGAGGAAGAGAAGACTAGGGCTTGGTTTACAGATGGTTCTGCATG